GTGTACGTGGCATTGCACAGGGCCTGCTCACCCCCTACTCATCTTCTAACAGAGGAGCATTAAAGAGGAGAGGATCTGCAGTGGGATGTGAAGTTGTCAGAGGCAAACGGGAGATACTGCACATGTTCTACAGTCATTTGGGAGCCTACAGTAGTATTTATTTTGCCCTTATAATGGTCCTTACAGATTTTCTTCTGCTGGGGATCTGAAGATGTTTACATTACATTAATGTGGTGCGAGGCAGGATAACTGGACATTTCTGATAAGATGAGATCTTCTGTTTCTAAATTTACTGAGAGAATTTAAACATTCAAGCTGACTCTCTTGCATATTCAGCAGCTGGATAAGTAAAACAAGGCTGGCCCTGTTTAATGCTTGTAGCCACAACATAAATACATAGACCTAAAAGAACCACATTCTGCTATGTATGGGCTCAAGATACAGAGGATACATATCTTGGAATACACTCAGTAGCTGGAATATAAAATGAATTAAACTGTGATATAAATTAGGGATGAGGTCAAACATAAATCCTTATCCGACATCCTTAAATTTTTTGTTGTTGTTGGGGAAGGAAGGTCAAGAACCGAAACCTGGAACCAGATCACAATTCCTGACTGGCCCAAATTTCTATAACAGGCTGAGCCAAAACCTCAAATCCAAACTCCCTTTCAACTTTGGGGGATTCAAAACACAGATACAAATTCTGGAACACAGACCCCTCTCTAGTGAAAAAAAAAAAAAACCTCGCACAAAAACACACAAAAACCAGGCAAGTGTTCTAAATGACTTGTTGGGATTCTTCCAACCCCAATTATGATACTTGGAAAGTAAGTTTGAGCTAGCGGCTGTAGAGCATCTCTTCACAGTGCTATGTTGTCTGCAACTGCAATCAGCAGCCATAGTTTACACAGACACCTACCGGACTATTGAGGGGTTACTCATACGTCTAAGTGTTTGCAAAACTGAACCCCAAATGAGGAAAGTCTTCACAATGCAAAAATTTTGATACTCCTGGTTATGATTTACGCTTTTGTAATACAGACTAGCTTAGAAATGGCCAGATACAATAGTGTAAATCTGGAATAACTTCATTGACTTCAAAGGAATTAACTAAATTTACACCAGTATACGTGAGATTGAAATTGGCCCTATGATTTATAGCAAAGCACGTTTATACCTTATGTAATTTGTACAATACAATACATTTGTACAATCGTGAAAAGATGTTCAAGAACAGTAACTCAACAAAAATGTCTCAATAATGCTACCAAGCTGAGTAACTCAAGCCTGCTGAGTGACACTTGCATTTATTTGGGTGGCAGTTTTCCTAATCTGTCTCTTAATGAATCGGCTTGTTACTACTATACTACTTTAACAATTCTTGCTGGGTTCTTTCCTGTTCTCTTGTCAGACTTCACGTAGCTCTTGCTATGTGCACTAAAGCATTGCATAATCGAATACCCAATGAACCGTGTTCAAAAGAATTACATTACATCATGGCTCCTCCAAGCATTTGATATACTATCTGTGTGTTGCAAATGTTTCAAAATACAGTTCAAGTTGCGGGTGGAGAGGATGAATGTGTAAATGTGGTGGAGGAATGGGTGGGCAAGACCAAACAGATATGGCCCTGCTCAGAGCTTCCTACTTATCCTTTAGTGAAATCTTACATCTAGTTCACCGTCACAGAGACTATAAATCTAATAAATATTAAGGGCCCAATTCTGCAAATCAAAGTGAACATAAACCCAGCAGAAACAGCCCTTGTAGGATGTCTCTTGCATAAGGGGAGCCCAGGTTTGCTGAGCCAATATAAGAGCAGCTATACCGAAACCACATTTGCTACCAGTACAATGATTATGGCCGTTACATTCTTACGCTCCAGCAGGCCATGGTTAGCCAGCATAACATAGAACTACCAGAGGACTGGACCAGCTCCCACCAGCTCTGAGATGACACAGGGCTTAAAGAGAACTTTGCACCCACTGAGCTAAACTAGTTGCACACAAACTGGGTGCCAGTGTCTGGCCCCATATATCTATAGCAGGCAATCTGCAAGGGAAATATACAACTCTTCCCTAATTAATAAAATATGTATTTGAGTCTCAGAGTTTCCCAATCACACTGCCATTGATCTACTGCTTATAATGACTTAGACCCTGATCATACAAATACTACTGATAGCTAAAAGTGGGCACTGAAACTACTATCACTTTGCTTGAGAAAATTTGCTTGAGAAAATTTAATGGGTCTCACTTTTACTTGACAGTCAGCTTGCTCTTTATGGTATCAATCCTGCTCCCGTACTCATGTGGATGGCAAAACTCCCATTGACCTCAATGGTGCAGGATCAGACCCCATTTCCCTTAAGTTCACAGACTTCGTAGGCTAGACTACATTGGTATGGGTATATCCAGCGGAGATTGGAGACTTATGTTAGTAGGGTGGCTCTTGCAATGCTTGTGGATGGAAAACGACCAAGGGAGAGGCCAAAGACTTGGTACATAGACAAGATATCAATAGACCTCAGAGAGATCAAGCTACATAACAGCCTGGCATATAATCATGAGTTTTGGAAGACGGCTATAAAAGTGGCAAGAAAGATGACAATACTTAGTAGCCCTGATCCTGCAATCAGCACCATGCAGGCAAACCCATGTGCCCATGTAGCGTTTACTGTAGGACTGGGACCAGTAATACCACTTTGTAATATCCTAAGCAGTTGCTTTCCTTTGTTAATATTTATACACTTCAAATATTTGTAGACTGTTAACATGGTTGTTCCTTGAGTAAACAAACTGTGAAAAAAATTAACTAATACAAAAACTACATAAAAATAAATGCTTTTTTAGATTAAAAACAGAGCTGTAAATTTGAGGAAGTTTCCTCCTAAGTATTTCATGATAAGTCAAATTTCAAAAAAATCTACTATTTGTGCTATGTGAATTTCAGAGACAACACCATATTGCTTATTGTCAGGTGACCACTCCCTTTCTCTCCCTCATTTTTTTACTCATTCTGTGCACATAGGTGTCAGATGGGTCCCTTCATACATTACATTTGGCAACAACAACGATGCTAGTACACTGACAGAGAGAAAGACGGGAACAAGTAATATATAGCCAAGTTGCCTGTCACGTTACCAGAACCCAGCAAAACCCAGTGGGACTCATTCTCCAGTGTCTGCATCTTGTGTAGTCATTTACACCTGCGCAAAATGTAAAATGCTACCAAATCAGAACTCTCCACCCAAATTGGTAATAACATTTCACACCCACTTGGTGCAGATGTAAATGAATATATAAAGAGGAAAGTAGTAGAGAACCAGGCCCAACATTAGCCATCAGTTTTGTGGCATCCAGGACTGTCTATAAGTAGAAAACTTTTCAAATGAGTTTGGGTTCTTAAGCTGTAGATTCAAAATCAACAGCATTTTAATTTGTTTTATAGTTTATGTCAAAAGGAAATATTTCAAAACTTTGCCTTTAGAAGGTGTGAAACTTGGGGGGGGGGGGGGGAGTTTTCCTAGCAGAGATGTGAAGATAATGGAGTTTGGAAAACAGAAGAGAAAATAAATGACTACTTTAATGATCTCAAAAATGTGTAAAGTTGAAAAGTACCCTCTTAAAAACAACACTGTCTGTACACAATATAAGATTCTCAAGGCAGGAATTGCCCTACGTCGTCTAACAGTTTCAAGCATTGCATCGACATTTAAATAACAACATGCCTATTTTTATAAGAGAATGTTACAGTTTTATTTTAAACTTAATAGACATCCAATTTTTCCTTTTCAAAACCTGGGCCTAGGTAACAAAGCACCAGAGTCCTATAAACTTTCTAACACCAAACGCAAATTAAGCAGTGAAATTGCTCTAGGAAAAGTTCCAAGAATGTAAGAGTCTCAACATAATTTCTATATCTTAGGCTTGGACTTTTCGTCACACTCAAACAACATAAAATATCATACTGTCAAGAATTATTACTTCACTATGGAAGATTTTCAGTTATTTCCCTAGTTGCAAGAAACTCCTGGCTCTTTGCATGTAGCTCTCAAATTAGATGATAGAGGTTCTGTTGATAGAGTAGCTCAGAAACTGCTGATTTGCCTGAGATGCTAGACCCTAGGGCTCATATCTCATAAGCCATCACAGCATATATTGTAAACTATTGTGAAATTTGTCACTGCACGTGCTGTTTGCTATGGAAGAGTGTATGCTAGTAATCGGTATTGTGCCTGTCTGCATAGAAAAATGTCAGTATTGCTGGTGTAAAACAACGAGACTCAGTTTTATTTTCTGTGTCAGCTGTCATCACAGGAGTTTATAACAGCATCTCCACTGAGTACAGGACCTACACACCGAAAACCTCAGAATCCTCCCTCCTTTGCACAACTCAGGGTTTTAACTGTTTAAACAAAGAACTGCTGATTTTTCCAGTACAGAGCTACTGCTTGTTTATCTCATGGGAAAGATCAAAGAATGACAACCTAGTTCTGTACAAATGCTATTATTCAGCAATACCCCCAAAGGGAAGGAAGAATGTTTCCTGATACAAATTGTAGATCCACAATTCTTGTCTGAAAATCTAAAATGGGCAACGGTAGCTAGATTAAGTCAAGCCTGGTGCTACTGGTACTCTCTGAGCTAACTGCAGAGCCACAGTACTGATATTTACACTTTGAGGATTTAAAAGTGTAACTTCTCAGTTGGTTCCTATTATTATATCTGAACGCAACATCCTACCTTTCACGTTTTGGGTGGCAGCCCACATATACGAACAGAAACCACCTTTCCCCATGGTAGATCACGCAAAATACATTTTCATTCCATTACAAAGCGGCATATTTTCAATTATTCTTATTTAGTTTTTCTTACTACAGCTCATAAACTGCCATTCTTCTTCTCTGTCTGCTTCATGCTGGTGCTTAATAATAATAGCTATGTCCTTAATATAAACAAAATGACTGATTCAATTAAATGGATATAAGTCCTTACCTGCAGAATTCCCAATATTCAAGAAAACTTCTTGTCACTTCTGTGCTTTAAACAAAACAGGAGCATTCCCCGCTGGGTGACCTACAATAGAGCAGAAAGATATATCAAGACAACATAATATGGTACATTTAACATGAGCATCAAATTACACTTTAATGAGAAAATTAACAGTTAAACATTTAGCTATTATCTTGCCGTAGCATGCCTTTTATGGATACTTGTGCCAAACAGTAAATGTTTGGCAGGAATCAAACAACATGAAATGCACATATTAATAAGAGGTACCTTTCCCCTCTTTCAACATATACGCTCAGACACGGAGATGTTTTGATTGCCCTTCATTCTCTACTTGTATGGCTCATGTTGCAGTTATATAAATTAAATAATTAAACTCATGCTGACACTAAACCATAGTATTTTTACAACTAAACAACACAATCAATAAAACTAGTCACTTGAGTAAGAACTGTAGTATTGAGACCAAAAGCATTCTAAGTTGCTGTCAACTTCTGAGTCTTGCAGGAAAAATAAAAAAATCCTTCTTGCTTCAAACTTTTATCTGATTTACATTTTACTGAACACTGAAACCTAAATATTAGGGTGACTGAAGCCTAAATATTATTTCACAATCTGAAACGTAGCAAAACAAAATAATATTATTTTATTAATGCACAAAAGCCAATAATCACACTGCAATCAACAGACTTTCAAATTCAAGTACCAGGTAGTGATTTTACTATGCAATCCCCTATTAAGAATGGAAGCTGTGAATTTAATCCTTCACTTGTCATGCTGGACATGTTCCTAGGTGTTTCAGCCAGTTTCCTTGACTGCTATTTAAAATATATATTTAGTGCTGCTCTTGTATACAATAAATTTCCATAGATTTTCAATGATAATTTACCATTACTTAATGGACATTTTAGCTGACTTGACTACTACAAAGTCATAAGGGACTTGATTGAGATTCTTACATTGTGATGATGGTTTTGTTTTAGTGCTGCTCTTACCAGACAAGTGGGATCACCCATTCTGCTCCATTTTTTTTTAAACGTATGTGTTCCAAACACAAGAAAGTAACACACACAATACTTAGGGCCAAATGATACCTGCTCTGGAATGGTGGGAGAGAAACCCGAGAGCCCAATTCCACACCTAATAAACTCACACTAGATGCATCTATAATGAGGCCTCTTACACCATCTGAGAGCCCAGTTCTTCCACCCTATTTAGTGTTGAGTAGAAGTTTAGAGCTTGATCCTGTAAACACTTCTTCATGTGCCCAACTTTAGCCATGTACGTAGTCCCATTGAAGAAGTCATGTGAGAGTGTTTGCAGAATAAAGGCCTTAGTCTGCAAGTAGTCCCCTGAAGACTCATTCGATAATTATGTAAGCTAGTAACAATTTTAATGATAGTGGGGTTACTGGCCCACTGTAATACAGTTGAAATCAATGAGGTATTTATGGGAGTAAGCGTCTACTCAAGGGAGAGAGTGGAACAACTGGGCCCAGAGTATGGGGGCTCAAAGAGGGCAGGAGTTGCTTGAAGCACAACATATTTACTTCCTATTTGGGAGGGGGGGTTGGAGGAGGGATGGGGTAATCAAAGTGGCTCTGAACAATAAGATACAAAACCAAATGAATTAAAAAATGTAGACGCAAAATTAAAAGTTTCAGTTATAACAAAATATGGCAGCACACAATCTATCTGGGGTTCAAAGTGAGTGATGACCTAACATTGCCCCATGAGTCAGGAAGAAATGTAGATGTAACTGCAATACAAATGTCAAAGAAAAGAGTCATGGATCTAAGATGAAACTTCTTTCCTGCAGTATGGTTGTATGTTAGTGAAGCCCAATTTTAATGGCTTAACTCAGTGCAGAGCAGCAATCATAATGGAAAGCCAAAGTTAATAGGGTACCATTTCTTTTTTCAAGACCCACAATTTTTGTTGGCCTGTTGAGTGTCTAGTAGTGACATGACTAAAATTTGTGATGAAAGTGTTCCTCTTTGCAGATAGAGGGTTGCTAAAAGTCTAAAACAAATTCAAATCTTATTCAAGAAAGTAACATTTACAATACAGTAACATAAGAACAAAGCAGTCAATATTGATTTCTGAAGATGAATCTTTACAACAGGGGTGGGCAAACTTTTTGGCCCGAGGGCCACATCTGGGTATGGAAATTGCATGGTGGGCCATGAATGCTCATGAAATTGGGGGTTGGGCTCTGTGGTGGGGCCAGAAATTAGGAGTTCAGGGTATGGGAGGAGGCTCTGGGCTGGGGCAGGGGGTTGGAGTGCAGGTGAGAGGATGCTCCAGCTGGGGGTGCAGGCTCTGGGATGCAGGAGGAGGCTGGGACCGAGGGGTTCAGAGGGTGGGATAGGGATCAGGGCTGGGGTAGGGGGTTGGGGCGCAGGAAGGGGTGAGGGGTGCAGGCTCCGGCGGTGCTTACCTCAAGCAGCTACCGGAAGCAGCAGCATGTCCCTCCTCCAGCTCCTACATGGAGGTGCGGCCAGGAGGCACTGTGTGCTGCCCCATCCCCAGGAGCCGCCCCTGCAGCTCCCATTGGCCATGGTTGCCAGCCAATGGGAGCTGTGGGAGCCGCGCAGAGCCACAGCACACGCGGAGCGGGACAAGCCCCCGACCCCACTCCCTGGCTGGAGCACCGGAGCAGGGTAGGCCCTGGACCCCGCTCCCCGGCAGGAGCTGGAGGGCCTGATTAAAACGTCTGAAGGGCTGGATGCGGCCCCCCGGCCGTAGTTTGCCCACCCCTGCTTTACAAAATAGTTGTATAGTACATTAAGGCCAGGTCTACCCTAAACACTTTTGCCACTATAGTATTGTCAGTTAGCAGGGTGATTTTTTTACATTTCTATACAGGTAAAAGCCCTATTGTAGACAAATTTATACAGACCTAAAAGGTACTTTTGGCAGTATAGCTTATTTTGCTCAGGGAACTGATATAAACTACACTGGCAATAGCACTTTTTGGCAAGATGAATCTATACTAGGAAGGTTCATCAGGTTAGCTATACCAAGAAATCTTTTCTAGTGTAGATCTGGCTTACGTCCACTAAACAATTCATGTATTTTCTCTTTTCCTTCCCACTTCCTTTATTTTCATAAGTCAATAGTGCTGTACACCCTATTTAATTCCCAGCCCTGCTGTTCATGAGACAAATTAATTAGGCTGTTAAAACACCAGTTATATCCTGGCATTACAATTCAGGTTAGCACCTTCAGCAACCAAGTTCTGACTATAATTATGCTGGCATTTGCTCCTGGAAAGTATGGAAAATAATTACTACAAAGCTCCAGTCGAGCTGAAGGCAGACATAACTTCTCAGATCAAGATCAATTTGATGGAATTAAGCAGGATCCCACCTCCAGTCAGTTATCTTTACCCTCATCACTAGATGACCTCAGAAGACATAGGAATAAAAAGACTTAATCAAGGCAACAAAAGGTAATTATTCACCCCTAACATGCTTTAAGGAGAAATACGCACTCCTATAAATCTGGATTTATAATTATTTGCTGGGTAAGATGTGATAGATTAATACAAGTATTTATAGGTGTCCACTACAAAAAGTATACAACTTTGAGAAATCACATTACTATGCCCACATCAATTAGCTACCCTAAGGTGGACGGAAAGCAGGTTTTAAGGAAAAAAATAGTGGTATCTATATTTAATAAAGCACAATGTTGATATATAATGTTGATATATAACAAAACAATTATCTACCTTTCCTTCAGGAAGATATTTGGCTTCATTTTCAGTGAGATACTACCATGGCAGATTGTTATATTGTAATATTTTAAAAGTAGAAGGAGACCTCTCAAGACCATGAATGAGGCTGTTTTCCAACTAGCCTTTTGCTTTTGACTTAACTTATTGGGCTAAATTTTGGAGGGAGACTTAAACCTCCCTGTACATTTGCACCAGCTATTTTGCATGCACAATCATCCATACTCACAAGAGACATTACTTTGACACACAAACGCTATACTGAGAAGTCATGAATGACTGTGCATACAAAATTGTGAGAAGAAATATTTGGTGATGAGCCCTGATGCTGAAGATGTTAATTTTTAACATCTAAATTTAAACAGAGTAGAGTTCAATTTTTATATTTGTGGCTTTTTTAATCTTAAGAACAAAGAAAAATTAAAATGGTAAACACTGTCATTTTTTTAAAAAAGGAGGCCACATCATGGGGCATACAGTGGTGAAAATAGGTTCATTCTATTTCATATAGCACTGGGGAAAGACGTAAGATTGGCAGCCCCGCAGACTACAGCGCTATATTTTTTTCCAAGGACAAGTTCAACAGAGGCAGTGGCAGAAACACTGCCCCACGTGTGTACTTCAACACTGCTCACATCTGGGGGTGAGGAACCCGTTCTTTCCCCTTGCCTTTTTAATTCTCAGCGTCATCGCAGAGCCTGCTAATAATGGTGAAAATCACAGTACGATGTACAGTATGTGCTTCTTGAAATGCGGCCCCTATCTAAAATTAACTGAAACAACATAATCAAATTACATAACAATGTCACATTTTTCAAGCTTGCATTCAAGCATTCAAAATGGCAGCTAGAAGTACACCCACTACCATTTTTAAATGATATTCCCACAACTCTGAGGTATAAAATCCTGAATTGACCACAATTGCTCAAGAGATTAGTAATGGGATTCAGAGACTTTCTACTCTATGTCACCACTTGAAATCCAAGCCAGGTTCATAGTGACTTACAACAGGCATAATCATCTAATGGCTATTTGTTGACATATGTGAAATGAGTTGGTGGTTTCAGTTCAGTTCTTAGTGGAGAGTATCCACATCACAAAACCGACTATCCCAAATGGCACTATCTTGTTGGCAAGGAGGGCCAGGATTACATGGGAATTTAGAATTAAACTATTTGCTGAGTCTCATTTCCAGAGATGGTACTTCCTGGTCAGCATTCAGGTGCATTAACAGCTCAGTATGGGGAAGTTGGGAGAAAGGAGTTCAAATTCTGATTAGTTTTCTCACTTTCAAACACTTTCTTTTGACATTAAACTCCTGCATTAAA